GGCTCTCGAGCTCGTGCGGGGCATCGTCCTTGCCCTTGCTCATCCCTCCTCCTCCAGCCCGGCAAACGAGACGCGATCACCCCACCCCGAGCCCGTTTCCGTTCCCGCGGAAGCCGAGCCCGGTCCCCGCCCCTTCCGCTCCGTCCCCGGCCGGTCCCCGCCCCGCCGGGGAAGGCGCCGGGGCCATGGGGGCCGGGTTCGGCTTGGGGCTGGGGTTGGCCCTGGCCTCCAGCGCCTTCATCGGCGGCAGCTTCGTCCTCAAGAAGAAGGGGCTGCTCCGGCTGTGCCGCCGCGGCCGCGCCAGGGCAGGTACGGCCGCTCCGGGCATCGCGACCTGCGAGCCTCGTGTGTCGCTTCATCCGTGTCGCTTCATCTGAGGCTTCCTGTTTCTCTTTCCTCTGCACTCAGGGCAAGGAGGGCACGCGTACCTGCGGGAATGGCTCTGGTGGGCAGGGCTGCTGTGCAGTAAGTACCCGCGCTCACCCCGCGGTAAGACACGCTTATGACAGAGTGGATCGTGGAAGGGACCTTAAGGACCACGAGCAGGGACACCTTCCGCTAGCCCAGGCTGCTCCAAGCCTCGTCCCACCTGGCCTTGGACACTCCCAGGGATGGGGCAGCCACGGCTTCTCTGGGAAACCTGTGCCAGGGCCTCACTGCCCTCACAGTAAATGATTTCTCCCTGATATCTAATGTAAACCTGCTCTCTGCCAGCTGGAAGCCATTCCCCCCTATCCTGTCACTACATGCCCTTGTAAACAGTCTCTCTCCAGCTCTCTTCAGGTACTGGAAGGCCACAATTAGGTCACCCCAGAGCCTTCTCTTTTAAGAGTGTTTATGATTGTTTCCAGTCACTTTCATGTTTTATTATGATGATCATTGTTTGCTTGATTTTTATCCAAGTGTCTGAGGATGATGTTGATCTAATTTTAACTCTAAAATATCCTTGTCTCATGCATTACCAGATTTCTCTGCTAAGCAGGACCTGAGGAGCTGGTCTAGCTGGGTTGGGTTGAGTGCTTCTGAAGTGGCCTGCACAGAGAATGTTGTGATAACAGAACATCCAGCACTGTTTGATGCTACAGCAATTTCAGCAGCTCCACTTTACACTTTTCAGTGTTAAGAACCAACTGTACTTGAGTTACCCTTTAAAAAGCTGTAAAAGCAGTTTCAGGAGAAGGGCACCTCTTAGAAATACAAACTCCTTTCAGCTTTGTGGCTATTGTGGCAATAGTTTCCCATGGTTGCTGCTTGCTGTATAGGCACATGTGACTAAGGATCACCATGCATAACACTGAGCCTTCCCTTCCCAAGAGAACATGTGTGGGGCTTCTGGTTGTTCTTGCTGGTGCTGTTCTTTCCTGGTTTCATGACATACCTCAGAGAAACACAGGATGCTCAGGTGGAAACTCAGGCTTTTCTGACTGCACTCAAACTTGTATTATGGTGAATTGCTCCTGCTTCGATACTCACCCAACTGAATTTTTCTTCCAGTGGGAGTTGGAGAAGCTGCAAATTTTGCTGCCTATGCCTTTGCCCCTGCAACACTGGTAACTCCACTGGGTGCTCTAAGTGTCCTTGTTAGGTAAGCAGCCTCAGAAACACCCTCACCTCACCTTCTACCCCTGAGTGACGAAAGCAGGTGCTCTGCTTTCCTTCCTCTCTTCTCTCAGGTACTCCCATCTCTTGCCTTAATTAGTTTTGAGTGGGTTTTTTCTTACTGTCTTTCAGTGCAGTTCTGTCTTCCACCTTCCTCAATGAGCAGCTGAATGTTCACGGGAAGATTGGCTGCATCCTGAGTATCCTGGGCTCCACTGTGATGGTGATCCACGCTCCGCAGGAAGAAGAGGTTTCCAGCCTGGAGTCAATGGCAGAGAAGCTGAAAGATCCAGGTACTAAAATAAAAAGGGTCCTGTCAACTTCAGGCTCAGAACTGACAGTAGATGGTGGGACACAACTTAGCTAGATTAGTAAGGACTGAACTAAATGGTAATGGAGCTGTTTCTTGTCCTGCAGACACAACTGGAATCATTAGCAGTTACCAAATGGGCTTTTTTTTTTACTGTCTATGAGGTATAGATGCAAAAAGTGAAGAGTGGGGGAATTAGGTGCAGCTGCCAGCAGAAGGGGTTGGCCTGTGGCAGTGCCAGGATAGGAGAGGGAATTCCTGGACACAAGGGTGGCAGTGGTGTGGCTGAGGGAAGGCAGAGGAGGACCTTCAGGCAAAGATGAATGAATTCAATGAGTTACATCCAAGATCAGGTAGTCTTGGTGCTTATGTCAGAGGGTAAATCAAGTTGCAAGGCTTTGATGTGGGCAATAGCACAAATGGCAGAATAAGCCACAAGAGATGGAGGAAGGAAGCACAGGCAGAAGAGCAAAGCAGAGTGACAGGTAGATGCTGCTGCTCATTAGAAGGAACACTCTGGCAGGGCCTCGCACTCCTGTTATGTGGCACTTTCCTTTTTATCACACAACAGTCTCCAAAGTTCAGCCAGGGCTTCCCAAGCCTTCTGCCACCCTCTTGGGCCTCCTGCAGAACTGGTCAACAAGCCTCCCACCTCTCCTAGTGCCCTGGAGCCTGGCTGTGCCCCTGCCACTACCAGCATGGGCTGTATCTGACAGCCTGACTTGTGATTGCACTGTAAAGAGCTGCTACTGGCTCTGCAGCTTTGCTCAGGCTGCAGACTGACTGTGCTTCCCAACCCCATTCCCTTCAGATGGAGGCCAAAAAGACAGACTGATGGGGCAGTTACCCCATCCTCTGTCTCTGCTTGCTGTCCAGTTACATCTGTCACTGAGTTCTGACAGAGCTCTTTCATTCTTTCCCCAAGGATTCATTGCATTTGCTGTTTGTGTCCTGGTGAGCTCCCTTCTGCTTATCTTTGTGGCTGGACCCCGTTATGGACAGAGCAACGTGCTGGTTTATGTTTTGGTCTGCTCTGCCATTGGCTCACTGTCTGTATCCTGCGTCAAAGGCCTGGGCATTGCCCTCAAAGAACTGTTTTCTGGGAAGCCAGTCCTGAAAGAGCCACTGGGCTGGGTGCTCCTGGTGTGCCTGGTGATCTGCATCAGCATCCAGATCAACTACCTGAACAAAGCCTTGGACATTTTCAACACATCTGTGGTCACACCCATTTACTACGTGCTGTTCACCACAGCAGTCATGATGTGCTCCACCATCCTCTTCAAGGAGTGGCAGCACATGGTGCTGGACAACGTCGTCGGCTCCATCAGCGGCTTCCTCACCATCGTGTCTGGCATCTTCCTCCTGCACGCCTTCAGGGACATGCCCTTCACCCCCAGCCTCCTGCCCCTCTTCCTGCAGCCAGGCAGGGCAGACCTACATCCCCCATGGAGCAGTGCAGACAGACACCAGTCCTGTCAGCACCAGCCTCTGCTGCCCTCAGAGGACAAAGGTTCTCAGAGCACAGAGGAGGAGGAGAAGTGAAAGCGTGTGAGGATGCCTGTGAACTGCTGGCTTTCTGCTCCCACTGCCAAGGCTGAACGTGCTGCCTCAGCTGCTGCTGCACTAGCAGGACCTGGCAGTCACCCTCTGCCTGTCCCAGGTGCCACATGGGTGATGGAGTCTGGCAGAGCCAGCAGCCTCCTGTGGCTCCAGACAGGAGCCCTGGGAAGCGCCCAGTTCCTTGGATCCTATGCTTCTTCACTGTTCTTTTACGTGAAGAATTGATCTGCCCTCATCAGGACCCAGAACCTGGCTGTGCAGAGACCTGCAGCACTAACACAGTGCTAACCCTGCGTGGCAGACCACAGGTCTGGGGAGGCCTCACAGTGTTTTATAAAAATGGGATTAACAGCTACAAAATGATCTAACATGGTGCTAAGGTTACACAGAGAGAAGATGGATGTCTGGCTTGAAAGGTGACACACACAGAATAGTAATTAAAGATTCCTCTGTCGAGTACTTGTTTTGCTCACTCTGCTAGAATTTATTTACAGATTCACATCCAAGAACAGAAAACAGCTCAAACTGGGAAACTTCAGTGGTGCTGCCACATGCTGCTGTGGCTCTTCAGAGGGACCAACCTCTTCATGCAACATCTGCTGTGCAGGTTGATGAAGCACCTGCTTACTGTATTCTATTAAAAACTGATCTGTTCAGTTCCCAAGTGGTGAGTGATACATTTGTACCGAGAGCTGGGCCAGCTGAAAGGTGTGAAGAATCACAGGGGTAGGAAGAACTCTGCGAATGCTCCAGAGAAATTCAAGTTAGGACAAGAGAGGGAACCACTTAGTCTGGGAGTCTAGTCCTTAGCTATTGAGGTAAGTTTTTGAAAGATAACTAGACAGCTGTGTCCTCACTGATGTGGGTTTATATCAGCACAGCTGTTTAACACATCCTGAATTTGTTCCCAGGAAGGCTTGCTGGCCATGAGCTGCTCACACGTGCTGTCCAGCCCCTCCTGCAATGGGATGTGTGCAGAACTGCTTGACCAGGCTCCTGTGCAGAGCTCCAGGCCACTGTCAGTGTCACTCCAGGCTTCCCAGAGCCACACTGCACGTAAACACTGCTGAAATGCTGTGCTGCCTTCCCAGAGAGCGGGATTGGTTGTTGGTTGTTTTTCCAGTTAGAAGCTCCTCTTTGTGTCCTGGGGGCAGAGGTCCAGAAGACACACCCACAGGCCTCCCACCAGCGACCTCCACAGGTAAAAGTGCACGAGGTGATAAAGCAGCTGGTTAGTTATTTCCTGCTTTCAGTCTCTCTAAAGAAACTACAGGACAGCAGGAGCTGTTAAACCTTTACGGAAGAAGAGGAAAGGCCACAGACTCTCCCAGAAACAGGTTTGATTCATGGGACCAAATTAATTCAGTAACAAATCACAATTCAGAAAAAAACCCTTCTAGCCAGAAGACAATTATGCCCTCTTCCTATTAATTTTACAACAAACAGGATCACTGGGATGGAGGGGGAGTGACAAGAAGGCCAGATTTTCCATTCTCAGCCGTGATCTACCTGAACAAAGGAGAATCTCATGTTAAAAATTGACCCAGTTATTATTTATTACATTTACCCAGGGAAAGCAGTTAATGGAGCAAGTCAGCATCGACAGAGTTGTGCTGCAGTGTGAAAATTGGTCACTTGGGCATATGAATGATTTACCTACGGAAGCCTGACAGTATTTTCCAGCGGTGACACTGCCTGGGATGATCACTGTTCCCAAGGAGCTCTTCTGGCTCAGGTGCCTGTCCCAGCCTGGGATGGTGCCTGGGGGGATGTCAGCATGTACCCAGGAGGGCTGGTCTGTGCAGCACTGTTTAAGGCAGCAACCACAGGCTGGCCTCACCCAGAGTGAGCTTCACATCAGCACTGGAAACACCCATGGAATGAGCATCACCACCCCTCTCCTGAGCCGAGGGGGCATGTCCCAAGCGCAGGGTCCCAGCACAAAGGCAGCCACTGGGAGCGGCACATCACCCCGGCGTGAGGCGTCCGTGTCTCTGTTGTGGGCTCTCATCTGGCTGCAGCTTCCCCGAGATGGCATTTATTTAAATCCTAACCCCCTGAGCTGATCCTGGCTCCTTCGGGAGGAGTGGGCCTGGGCCAGGCCCGGCCTGGCAGGGGCTGGGTCCAGCTCAGTCGGACAGGCTCTCTGAGAAGGCCGACTTGGACTTCTGTGTCTGCTCCAGCCGGTTCAGGATGAACTGGCTGGTGTCGATGAAACGCTCCACGCAGTTCACGAAGCACGTCTCGGCCCGGCTGTCCAGCTTTGGCCCTGGCTTGTCCATGCACTTCTCCTGCACACAGCAGGGGCCTGTTGGTCCCGGGGGAACCGCAGCCCGACCCTGACACCCCCTGCCCCTCCCAGCACCGGGGCCGTGCCCCCGGGCATCGCCAGCCCTCGGACGCGATGGTGTCACCCCCGCTTGGGATCTTCATCCCCTTGGGGTCCCCATCCTCTCAGATCCTCATCCCCTCGGGGTCCTCATCTCCTCGGGGTCCTCATCCCCTGGGGGTCTCCATCCTCTCAGATCCTCATCTCCTCGGGATCCTCATCCTCTCGGGCGCATCTGACCCCCTCCACCCAGAGCTTCCCCCCACCCCCGCCTCCCTCTCTCCCTGTGCTCACCGGGCCCGGGACCGCTCCCACGGCGGCTCCATTGTGTCCCCATCAGCCTCCCCCTCCTCCCCCCGGCGACACAGCTCTGCGCGGCCTCACAGCCCTTCAGCCCCACCAGCGCGACCGTTTCCCCGGAGCCGCCCGCGCCCCGCCCGTACCCAGCACAGCTCGGTCATCTGGTGCACCAGCTGCTGGAAGCGCTGCTTCTGCGTCTCCACCTCGATGAAGCGCTGGAGCTGCGGGTCGGCGCCGCCCAGCCCGGCGCCGGACGGCGAGTCCATGGCGGTCCCGGAGCCCCCCGCTGTCCCCGCGGTGTCCCCGCGGTGTCCCCGCGGTGTCCCCCCGGTCCCTCCCGGTGCCGCCGCGCCGCGACCTTCACGTGCCGCCGGTGCCGCGCCCGCCCCTTCCGCCCGCGCCGCGCGTGCGCCCAGCGCCGCGCGCGCCCCCTGCCGGCCGGGAGGACCCGCGCAGCCCGGACGGGATGGGGGAGTTTATTGTCCATGAGCGGGGGAAGAGTGGGATGGGGCTCCGGAGGTGATGGAGCTCCGGGGGTGGGATGGAGCTTTGGGGATGTGATTGAGCTCCAGGACGGTGATAGAGTTCTGGAGATGTGATGGAGCCCCAGGGATGTGATAGAGGTCTGGGGATGTGATGCAGTTTTGGGGTGGTGATGGAGCTCTGGGGATGTGGTGGAATACCAGCGATGTGCCGGAGCTCCAGGGATGTGCCGGAGCTCCGGGGCAGTAATGGGACTCCCGGGCAGCGATGGGAGTTCCAAGGCGGTGATGGAGTTCCAGAGTGGTGATGGAGTTCTGGGGATGTTATGGAGCTCCGGGGCGGTGATGGAACTCCGGGGTGGTGATAGAGCTCTGAGACAGTGGTAGAGTTCCATGGGTATCCCTGGACTCCCCTGGGCCCCTGGTCCCCCTGTGCCATGTCTGTGACAGCGGTGCCATGGTGCTGCCCGGCACATGGGTCTCTCCGGGTGGGCAGTGCCAGCACTGGGCAGGGCTTGGCAGGCGGTGCCCGCGGTCAGCACTCCTCATCAGCGATGTCCAGGATGCTGCCCAGCAGCGCGGTGAAGGTGGGGCGCTCCTCAGCCTTCTGCCGGGCGAGAGGGGAGCGGTGATGGAGCGGTGATGGAGCTGGGTCTGCCCCTGCACCCTGGGGAGCCCCATCACCTGCTGGGGCGGCTGGAGGGGGTCTCTGGGGGTGGGATCCACTCACCTCGTGCCAGCAGCTGTACATGATGGCGTAGACCCGCTCCGAGGCCGCCTGCGGCCGGTACAGGCGCAGGCCTTGGATGACGTGCTCTGTTGTCTCGCTGTTGTTAAACCTCTCGTAAGGCATCTTCCCCAGGGAGTAAACTTCCCACATCAGAACGCCTGTTGGAGGGAATGGCAGGGAGAGCTCATGGCGTGGGAGCACCTGCGCCTAACCCTGGTTTGCGGGGAGGTTCGCTGCTGTTGGGATGCTCTTCCTGACCTCCAAGTCATTAATTCCATGCTCTTACCAAAGGACCAGACGTCAGACTTGCTGCTGAACTTGCTGTACAGAAGCACCTCAGGAGGAGACCACCGCACTGGAAACTTGGACCCCATAGAGCTGGTATACTCGTCATCTAGAACGTACCTGCAGCAGATAAATGGATCAGGGTGCCTGCCTAGGTTTTCCCATTTCACTCCTCCATGCAACCCACCAAGCCCAAAAGGAATGGGCAGCTCTCAGAGTGACCAGGGGTTTCAGTCAGCATGGGTTTCAGCAGGCAAAAGTCTCCCTTTGCAAACAAGTGTGTGCTAGTGAACACTGGGGAAGGGATAGGGTGGCACAGAGGCACAGCAAAAAGGGGGTGTGGGGAGAAAGCTGCAGCCAGGAGACTAGAGGTGGGGGAAAGAAGATGCAAAGAGGAGGGGGAAAGGGCTGGGGTGAGTAAGAAAGGGACAGTGGAAAGTGAAGAGGCGGAAGCTTGAGCCAGGCAGATGAAATGGAAAGACAGGAGAAGACTGGGAAAGCAGAGCTGGAGGATGGTGGGAGCAAAGACAAGTGTAGAATAGACTGAAGGAGATGGGGGATTGAGACAAAAAAGTGACACAGACACGTCTACCAGACCTGGAAAGACCAAAATCTGATACTTTCACAATTCCTTGGTCATTCACCAAACAGTTTCGAGCAGCCTGTGGACAGAGAGATGGAGGCAATTACTCCTACCTGCTATTGCCTCTCCCATCCCCCTGTACCAGCTGAACTTCATCTCATCCCCACCCACTTAACACTTCACTTCACTTTGTCCTGTAAGTTCACCGGGGTGGGGGCAAGCTACAAAGTCATCAGCCAAGAGAGCAAAAGAGGCCTCCAAGCATCCTGTTTGTCTGTGGAGGGGCGACTTCCCTCATGGGATTTTCCCTGAACAAAGCAGCACCAGGAGATCAGGTATGGCAGGATGACCAGTTGGCAATGCCAGCCCAAAGCCTGACAAAGTGCAGGCCCAGCTTTTCATGGGGGTTGAGAAGGAGGTCTCTTTTCATGTCTGAGCCAGTGATGCTGCCTGTGCTGCTGAACACAAACCCTGCCCCAGCCACAGATGCATTTCACATCTCCTGGAAAACTATCTAGTCCTGCCATTTCTGGAATCTCTTCCTGCCTGCAGGGAAGGGACTGCAGAGCATCCCACCCATGGGTGGACAGGGAAGCTCAGAGGGGTGTTCTGCAGAGGAGGCTGCAGAGCTGCCTCTCCTCGTATTGATGAACTATCTGGACCCTGTCCAGGACACGCTGTGGCTGTTGCTGAGCTGGACATGTGCCCTTCAGCCACAGCCCTACCAGGTCTCGGTGCAGGAACTGCTTGGATTCCAGGTACTCCATAGCTTCACAGACATCCTTGCACATCTCCAGCAGCTCGGCAGGCTGGAACCGCTGCCGAGTTTCCCTCAGGAAGTTCAGGAGGCAGCCGTTGGCCATGTACTCCGTTATGATGAAGATGGGACGCTGCTTAGTGCAAACCCCATAAAGCTGCACCAGCTTCTCATGAGACAGGTTCCTGTGTTGGGGACAAGGGCAATTCTGAGCATCTAGAAGGCCAAGCAGCAAAGGAAGCACCTGTGAATAAAGAGAGTTTGGGAAGGGAAGGTGCTCCAGACCCAGCTGACAGTGGAAAAACTCACTAAGGAATCAGCACAAAGTCTCAGATGCATTTTGCAGAGTGTGGCACTGCCCAGGACTGTCCCTGACACCACCCAGGAGTGCAGCCACTCTGCCAAGGTGTGTCCAGCACTGACCTGCACTGTGCTCACCACTTACATCATGACTTTGGCTTCGTCGATAAACTCATCCTCTGACATGGAGCCCTCCCTGATCATCTTGATGGCGACGTCGTACTGGCCCCTCCACTTCCCGTACTTCACCACTCCAAACTGCCCCGTGCCGAGTTCCTTCAGGAAGGTCAGATCCTTGGGGTCGATCTCCCATGACCCTAGGACAGAGTGTGAGCATAATGTGGCTGCAGGTGACCTCCCTGCACGGTGCTCCCAGTCATCTGGTCTAGCACGCCCAAGAAAAGCTCACGAGCTTTGGATCCCTGAAAAACCATCCACAAAAACATCCACAGAAGGATCTGAGACCTGTTCCTCCATGGGATGGGGAGCAAGGTAGATTGTGGGGTCTCTTGGTCAGTACTGTGACCAGAGGACAAGGGAGTGTAGAGAAGTGATTCCTAGGAATGCTATGAGCCCTGCTGCCATGGGACAGCCAGGATCCCAGCCCCGGAAAGTTGCTGCCAGTAGGGACAGACCCTGCAGCCAGCCCAGGCTGGCTTACCATAGCCAAGGCCAGCTGTAGAAGGAGCACTTTTCTGGTGCTGGGACACGGGGTACTTCAGTCTGGATATGAGCCCTGAAAAACAAAAACGTGGATTGCCACACCAGGCTTACCTGCCACATTCCAACAGGGAACACGAGCCTCCTGCCTTCAGCACAGGAAGGTGAGGGCACCGTGGAGTCAGTGCAAACACTGCTGGCTTCACCGTGTCTCCCAAACACTGACCTGCAGAGTTGTGCTGGTGGTACGTGATGAGCTCTGGGATGCTGTTGAACAGGTGCTTTTCTGCCAGGTAATACTGGTTCTGGGGGGTGCAGCACACGACGTAGTGGCGGATCGTACCCTGGGGGTCTCTGGAGAGAGAATATCAGTGGTCAGTGGTCAGTGGCATGGGGAGGACAGGCAGATGGTGAGGGATGCCTGGGGGGGCCCTCTGAGGGAGGAACAAGCTGTTGTGAGATCCACTTACACAGAGGACTTGGCGTAGACGGAGACAGTGTATTTCCCTGTCTTGCTGGTGGAGTCTCGGACGATGAAGCCCCCTTCCTTACCCTAAAACAGAAAGGGGAAAGGGCACTGGGTGGTTGTTGGGAGGTGTGACTGTAACAGGCAAGACTTGAAGTGAGTGAAGATCACAGCATGGCTGGAGAAGGTGCAGTGAGTCAGAGGAGTCCTAAATCCAGTCCCTGCCTCTGGGGCCACCTCCTGAAGTGAATGCCCAGAGGAGGTCACGTTGGGATAGAGATGGTTCTTGGGGCTGTTGGGGCAACACTCCCTCCCAGCACAAACCAGGGTTGGTCCCATGCTGGACACAATGTGAGAACAGCCCATGGAGGGCTGGTGTGTAGAACAGACCCAGGCTCAGGAGGCAACACTTACCTCCTGTTTCAGCAGTTGCTCTGCTTGACTCCGAGTGATATTCTTTGAGTACCACCTGAAACAGGGACACAGGCATCAGGGAAATCCCAGCCACCACCGTCCCCAGCCCGGTCTGACCCTGGCCCAGCCAGGACAGGTGGTGCAGAAAGCACCACGGGGCTGCCACAGGGCTGGAGGCTTCCAAAGGGTGTGTGAGAGGGAGAGCGACCCAGCCAGGCTGGGTTAGCAGAACTGAATGGAAAGCTGAATGGAAAAACTGAATGCAAAAAGTCTCCAACCAAGTGCAAGTTGCCAGGCCCCTGTGCCTTCTCTTACTCAAAGATTTCCAGGGAATTGCTGGTTTCAGTGACATAGTTGCTGGGGATGTATCCTTCCCTCCTGCAGGAGAAAAGGGGCTGGTTACACACTGATGGAGGAGGCCAAGGGGATGGGGTCTTCCTGTCCCAGGAGGCTGAGTAGAAATGGGCTTAAAAACCTTGGTGCAACCCCATCTTTGTTCATGTCTGGGCAGGGCTGATAGCTCAGCCTGCTTCAGCCTCCCTCACCCTCCTCCCTGGGGAGGCCACAGGTGGGCAGGCAGGGATGTGTTTGCCCACCAGTGCCTGGGCGCCAGGCCGAGTGCCACGGGCAGTGGGAGCTCTTACCCGTTCTTGTCAAGGGCTTTCCACCAGGGCAGGTGGCTCTCCTCCAGGATGAAGTACTCCTCGCCCTTCTGCAGCTGCAGGTCCTGCGCGTTCATCGGCTGGTAGTTGTAGAGGGCCACCACCTTCTTCATCTCACCCGCTGTGCTGGGGGCCGGCTCGCGAGGCAGAGGCTTCATCACCATCTTCCCACAGAGAGGAGGAGTGTGGGACGTGGTGAGGCTGGCAGACACACCGGGAGAGACCCTCCCCAGCCCTGGCAGGGCACTGGGCTCAGGCCAGCTCAGCGCAGCGTTTGTCTCAGCTCCCACATGTGTCTCCTTCAGCACTTTTTATCACAATATTTCTTCACGCCTTCACAAAAGGTAAGTGTTTTCTCCCTATGTTTTGGCTTAACCCATGACTCCTCCAGCCTACATTAGGGCTTTATCTTCCCAGCTCCCCCAGGGAACTTCAGAGTTGAGATCATTTGACTTTCCTACAGGCCTTTGAGTTCCACCCCCTGCTTTAAGCTCCTGCTCCCTTAGGACACCACCTTGACATCGGTCCCCAGAGCCGAGTCCTGTACATCTCTGAGCAGTCATTGGACATGTTGGCTTTTACCAGGCAGACCTTTTCTCAAACACCTTGGAGCCAACCCACATGCTGAGGCTGGCCCTTACCTGGTCCTCCTCAGGAGTTGGGGGAAGAGGCTTCTTTGTCTTGCGATGCGACCGCCCAGTTTTCAAACCTTCAGAACAGAGGAGGGACTAAGGTGAGAAGACATCCCCAGCACTGTGATGTGGTGGTCCCAGAGGGGGGAGAACAAGGCAATGGGAGGGTTCCCAGTGTCTTACTGCCATTCCTGCTCTCCAGAATTTGGCAGCCCATGGCATTCTTGGCAGTCTGGGAGCAGCACAGGTACTGGCCATCGATCCAGAAGCAGGGGTGATACTTCTGAACCAGGTCGCTGTTGTACCGAATCACTGTGGCAGAGGAGGGGAGATGCATGTGACCCGGGGCTGTGTCCCCAGCCTCCTGTGGAGACCTCTCTGCTCCCTGAATGCAGACAGGCAGCCCTATTAAATCATTCCACCCTCAGCTGTGTTACTGACATAGTCCCCTGTGACCCTGCTGCCCAGGTTTCCCTCAGCTCATTGCCCTCGTTCCAGAGCTGTGGCTATGAATCAATCCCTGTCCACAAAGCCCCCAGCTCAGGAAGGGCCAGGCTTGCCTCTCAGATTTGATCAAAGCTCTTGAGCAGCTCTGCAAAGGGAGTCCTGCTGAGACTGGCCCTCCTGCCAGCTGAAATATCCAGCAACCCCCCAGGCCCATGGTTCACAGCTCTTTTGAGCCCTATTATTGAGAAGTGGGGAAGAAGCCAGTGCTGTCCCTGGATTGTCATGGGGAGAGGAGGGCACTGCTACCATACCCTGCCTGCTTGGAGACTTCCCTTGCTAGGACACCACTCCCTTGCCAGGCAGGCACCAAACAGCTTCCTCATACTTCTCCCCAGTCTAGAGGGACTACTGGATGTGCCTAAACACCAAGGCAGCACAGGGCTGGCCCACAGGAGCTCCACGGGATGCAGAGAGCCCCTTTTCTGGATGAGGACATCCCAGCAGCAAAAGGCCAGCATTTTCTCTCCCCTTTTCCCTGTGGATTTTACACTGACTTCAGCTGCCACAACAACCCTCCTCCCAGAGCAGGGAAGTGGGGAGAGGGCTGGCTGCCTGTCAGGGCTCTTGTGAGATAACTGACTTCCCTGTTATCAGCCTGCTCTTCCGCCTCGCTGGAGCCAACTTCCCTGTGTCAATTCAGGCGCTAATCTCACCCCACCAGCACAAAGCCACAGAAAGATACACACACACACCCACAAGACGCACATACAGGCAGCTCCAGCAGATTTTGGCTGACCCAAGCCCCTTGGCAATGCTGCTTCAACACACTCTCAGCTTGGCAAGGCAGCACCAACACAGCTGAGCATTAGCTCTGAGCGAGGCTCAGGATGGGTTGGGAAGGACACTCCCTGGCTCCCAGCAGGCTTGTTGTCCGTGTTTCCTAAAGCGCCCAACCCTCCCCTTGCAAGGCAGTACAGCTGTGTGGCCACATCTGCTGTTTCCTCTTGCCCCCAGTCATTTCTGAGCCTGCCTGGGCTACTTTGGAGCAGGCTTGTGAGAGGACAAGAAGCCTCAGCCGAGCTAGCTGTGGTGCTGCAGAAGTTAGAGGGTGACAGAGGTGAGTGTCCACCCCCCGGGGCAGGAGCAGCTCCCTCATCCACAGACATGGGAATGCATAACCATGAGCCAGCAAGCCCCTGGAAGCCTGGTGCTCTGGGTCAGCACAGGCACAGCTGAGTGCCCGTGTTTGCTTCCCAAGGGAGCTGCAGAGCCCCCAGACTCACCGCTCTTCAGCTGATGGATCCAGCGCTTGCGCAGCTCCTCCGTCGGGGAGAAGATGTAGAGGGGCCCTTCGTCATAGACCACCTGCAGGACCCCACACCTCAGCACCCCGGGCCAGGGGGCTCACGGGGGGAGCCAGGGATGGTGGCCACCCCAAGCAGCCGGTGCAGGGCAAGCCCATGCTGGTGCCTGCTGGCCCTGCACGCTGCTCTTGGGACCGTGACAAAGAGGTTATAAATAAGCCCCCTCCCCTGAGAATTTTCCACTTCCTTCTCTGACTTTCGGTGTGCTGGGGGCCGCACTGGGTGCCAGCAGGGCAGGCAGCTGGGCTGGGGCTGAGCGGGCAGCTGGCAGACAGCATCCCTCCAGCATCAGCCAGGGGACTGAGAGGAGCAGGACAGAGCTCAGAAGCAGGTTTCCATCTAAGCAGTCTCCTTAAATAGAGCTGCCTCGGGTTCAAAGCGGCTCACCTGGCTGCTCTGTGCAGTGTGGGCAGCAGCAGGGTGTCCCCAAACAGCTGGCACTGGGGCAGTGATGCCATGTTTGACCCCAGGTCCCTCTGGGGTCCTCCCCCCAGCACCCTGCATGGCCAAGCAAAGGGTATGCAGTGAGGACTCACCTGGAAGGGGTATGGGAACCGTTCAATGATTGAGATCTGCTCCATGTTGTTGTAATCCTCTCCTTTCCTCTAGAAGAGAGAGGCAGAGATGGACATTGGCATCCTGTGCTTGGCTGCTGGCACCTCCCCTGGGACCCACAGCCTTTGGCATTCCCCTGCTCTGCATCAAGACAGACCCCTGGAATGGTGTGGGCAGAGCCCCCCATGCCAAGCAGGGCTGTTCCCCACAGCCACCACCCCAGGGAAGGGTAACTCTCCCTATTCTCCCAGCGAGGGGACAGGAGGACAGACGCAGGGAACGCCGGGACCCTCCTCACCGGGACCTGCCGCTCGGGGGGAGGGTTGTTCTCAGGTGCCACCATCTCCACACAGGTAATCTTCTCAATGTCCACAGAGCCCTTCTTACTGCCCCGGCGCTGCAAGAGACAGGCTTGGCTCAAACAGTCACCAAAGGGAGACCTGGAGAGACTCAAACCAACCCATGTCCCCATCCAACCACCCCTTGGGCTGGGTGCTGGAGACCCCTGGGCACTGCCATGGCACAGCCCCTGTGGCTGCAGACTCACCCCCCGCTCAAAGTCATATTCGTAGTAGGACAGCTTGCTCTCTGTCAGCAGGAACAGGCGCTTCTTGAAGTTGAGGGGAGAAGTTTTCTTTTTCTGCTGTGAGCGCTTCAGGAAGATGCTCTCCAGGAGGACACTGGCCATGTCACCCCCCGGCCTCCTCTGCGCTGTGCTCGCGGGGTTGCTGTGGGCAAGACAACACTGACAGGGCACTTGCTCAGCCCAAAAAACTGCCGGACCTCCCTCAGGTGCCCTCTCCTCCCTGCCCAAAGGGCAGGCGGGGTCGCTGGGACCCCCGTGGTGGGGGGGAACTGGCCGCAGAGGGGTGTGGGCAGGTCAGTGTGGGTTATTTGCGGTGTGACCTCTCCTGGCCCCTGTCCCACAGCAGGCTGCAGACCAGGCCACCACCCGGATGGCTTCTGCTTCTGTTGGATGCTGGAGAGGCTCGCAGGGTGTGCAGAGGGACAGGCAGCTGGAGAGGGAGGGAGACTGGGAAGCTGTGAGCAGCATATCCCCAGGGAGGAGCGCAGAGCCTGAGCAGTGACACCCCGCAGGCGCCTCCTCCCCTCCAACACTGTGCATGTGCACTTGCGTGGGCCGTTTCCTCCTGCCCCACCGCAGGCACTGTGTGCTGGGGACGTGCTGACTTGGCAGCGCACAAGGGGTTGTCACGAGAGGCCAATCCCTAAAATGTGCTGGGTAGGTCCTGGCCCTCAATAGTCACGTGTTGGGCTGTCAAGAGCATGGAGTAGCCCTAAAGTCATCCTTCACCTCTGTGTCCACGGACCCTGCAGGAGTGCAGGGACAATGCTCAACCCCCTTTCCTCCCCTGTGAGCAGCACTTGTCGGAGGCCAGACTTCAAGAGCTGCCTTTGGCCAGCAGCCAGAGGGGTTAAATCCTCCCCAAACCCTCCTCAGCAAAGCTGTCCTGAGCCTCTCCAGGGCAGGCTGGGGCAGGAAAGGGCTCAGATGAGAGCCCTGCATCCCACTGCTGCTCTGCCTTCAGAGGCTGTAAATCATCCCAGCCCACCTCTTGGAGAAGCCCATCCGTCTCACTCTGTCCCTCCATGCTGTACCGGGGACCTGTGACATCCAGATGTTTCCAGCAGCCCCCAGAGCCCTATGGCTGGAGCTGTGGGCTGTGACCAACACCTGACTCCAGTCTGGACCTAATGGGGAGCTGTTGAGTGAACTCTGTTGAGCCACTGCTGAACTGTGATCCCCTGGAGCCCTGCTCCATGTCTCCTGCCCTGACCACCTACACTCCCTGCTTCCCCTTCACCTACACCTTGTTCCCTTTTTTCTCCTGCAAACACAGCTTTGGAGGGCAAACTGGGAGAAGCTGTTTTTCTCCCCTGCTCCCCACAGCCCGTCTCCTCTGGGGGAGGCTCAGAGGTGGGCCAGACCTGCTCTGTCCCTGCCTGTCCTTTGGGGTGGTGGGTGCCCCATGGGACTCACCCCCTCAGCCATCACTGCCGTGCTCAGACAGCTGAGGTGGTGAGTGGGTGGGTGGAAACATGTCCTGTGCCCCCCCAGCTAATGGGACTTCCTGCCACGCTCACACCTCAGCCAAGCGTGCTCTAAGACCACCTCCAGCCTGGCACTCACTGCTGGCCCCCTCCACCACGGTCCCAGCGCCACCCCTGCACAGGCAAACTCTGCCCCCTGCCTGATTCCTGCCAAGGAGCTGAGCCACTGGTGGATGGGGGGCTGGCAGGGGGCTGGCACGCTCGGGACAAGAGGGAAGGGTGACAGGGTGTCTGGGAATGACACACTTCACAGCCCCCACGTTTCAGGCTGAGCCCGGAGGGTGTCAAAATCGACGGGTGGGAGGGACAGAGGAGGAAACCTCCCGCGCAGGAGAGACGGGTGAACAAACCCAGAGCTGCACCCCAGCAGTGCCTGCTGCCAAAAGCACAAGCAAGGAATGGCCACAGACACTGTCAGCACCCCAGCCCGCTGCTCTGGAGCACCCCTGGGGCCCCTGACACCCATGTAGTGCCGTGCCCCCCTGCTCCAGTGCGCCCTGCAGCCCCCGGCACCCCCACAGCACCGCACCCCCCTTCCCTGCGGCACCCCTGGCCCCCGGCCCATGCCCAGGGTCAGATGCCGCCTGCTTGGAACCGCTCAGGCCGTGGGGACAAGGCCGAGCCTTCCCAGCTCAGCTCGCCCGCAGCTCGGCACCACACGGCCTGTGCCTGGCATGGCTCTCCCACCCCCGGCACCGCGAGGAGGCCAACAGAGGTGTGAGGCCATGGGGATGGGCCACATGGAGCCTCCCGCCGCCATGGCTCTGCCACGGCCACACCGACAGGGCCCTGCCGGATCCCGGGGCACCGTCACCCTGGTGCTCCCACCGTGCCCCGGGTGCACTCACCAGCCCTCCTGCCGCTCCGGCCAGCCGGGCTCCGGTGCCGCCGCTGCCCCGCGCCCACCCCGGCGGGTTCGGGTTGGGGTGGCTGTGGCGGTGGGAGTGGGGAGGGACGGCGGGCCTGCCGCGCAGGGAGGGAGGAAGGACGGGGCCAGCCAACCCCACCCTTTCAGTTCCCCTTTTTCTGGTTTCTGACTCAAAGGCTGCATCTGTGTTTCCTCCTGCAGGCGATGGGGATATCACCCTGGGGCTACTGGGCCACCGGCCATGGCCAGAGCCTGCCCCAGGCTGTGGGCAGTACCAGGCTCCTCTGGGCTGCCCGTCCCCATGTTGTCCCCAAATGGGTTCTTTCACCCTCTGTGCATAAGGCTGATCCTCACACAGTGCTGAGATAGGTGGTTTATTTACAGTTCTGAGCAGACAGGGGGGCCAGGTGGCAAATCCACAAAGCCAGCACGGTGACTTGCAAAATTTTTCACTGTTTATAAACATTTTAGCAAATGAAGGCATTGAGCTTTATTGGCTACAAGTTGCATCGTTCTCTTATTAATTAATATTCTATCTTCTACTGGTTAATGATTCACTTGCTTCTTATGCTAATTAGTCCACATGCTCAGTCTTTCCCTTCTTTTGGGTTGGTGGTCTGTGAGTTGGTGGCCGTGATCTCCCCCTGCCAGAATAACCTGTTACCCCATCAGAGCCGATTCCAGCACAGTTGCTGAGTCGGCTTTATTAGTTTTTTCCTTATCTTGGGAGTTCTGTCAGGTGTCCTTGTGGTCCATAAATTCTGCATTCTTTCTGTCCACTATAGCACACCCTTCTCCCCAAGCTTTGTTAACCTCTCCCTGGATCTGAGATCACTGAGTCCTGTCAAGCCCTAAACCTTAGCAAGGCAACTCTACCAACACATAATTTATCTTTCTAACAGCTGGACATCACCTGCATCCCATAGATCCCACGGACCCTTATTCCAGCATCCCCTACAGCCACAGATCCTCGTCAGTCACCCTGCCAGCTGCGGACCCACACCTCAGTCACCCCTAACACCCTGCATGGTCACAGACCCCAACCCCAGTCACCCCGGTCACCCCCCAGCCCCAACCCCCCCCGCACCCCTCGATCTCCTCAACCTGCCGCCCTGCTCTCCTCCCAGCGGCAGGGGGCGCTCATGCCCTGTGCCCTCCCTGCCGCCTCCTCTCTATGGTTCCCCCGCTCCCAACTGCTTCCGCTTCCGGGCCAGGCCTTCTCTCTGGGCCGCCGCCGCCGCCAAGATGGTGAGTGCGGGGCTGGGCCGGGCTCTATCCGCCGCCATCCGCCCAGGGGACGGGCCGGGCCGGGCTCCATCCACCCCGCCGGCTGCTTTGCCGGCGGCCAGGCGGGCGCGGGGGCGCCGCAGGCCCGCGAAGGTGGCGCAGGGCGTGGGATGGGGTAGGGCGGGCGCGGGGCCTTGGAGCTGGATGCGTCAGGTCGTGTGGTGTAGTTTGTGATGTGTCCCGCGCCCCTGACCGAGCTTTCTCCGCGCCCCCCAGGTGAACGTGCCGAAAACCCGCCGGACCTACTGCAAGAAGTGCGGGAAGCACCAGCCACACAAGGTCACGCAGTACAAGAAGGGGAAGGACTCGCTGTACGCCCAGGGTAGGGACGGGCACGGCCCCGGCGGTGCTGCCCTGGAGGAGGGGGGTGGGTTGGGAGCAGGTGTGTGTCTGTGGGGGGAGAAGAACAGATTGAGCTAAAGGATGTGGAACTAAAGCAATAAAAAGACCAGTGACATGTCCAAACCAGTTTGGGGCAGTCGAGGTGTAGAAATGTTTAACTAATCTGGAGATGGTGTGCTCTGGGTGAACTTGGCTCGTTCTGATGTGGAGGCACAGCTCTGGAGCCCAGGCTGCCTGCCCCGAGGGAGGGCCCTGCCCACTGAGCACGGGCTGGGAGTTGAAAAGGAGCGGGACCTTCAGATCGAGGCGAGAGAAAGTGAACCCGGTGGCAGCTCAGCCAGAAGTGACGTGGGTTAATGATGCAAGTATCACCTGAACAAAATGTATAAATATCCTCCTGGTTTTGGCCCTTTGTATGCTGGCTTTGAGGATTTACCAGCCAGCAGAACTCTGAATAAATCGGTCCCTCGACCTCCCGTCTGTGTTGGCTTTGCACAGCGAGGGGACAGATCCACTCTTGGGGACAGCACGAGGGTGGGGGCCGTGGGCTGAGGAGGTGACACTGGTGCTGGTGGGCTGTGCAGGGGCAGGCTGGATCCTAAACCTGGTGGGATTTAGGAAGCACCAGTTGTGCTTGCAGCACCTCCTGAGTTGTTCCCTGTTCCCCACAGGGAAGAGGCGCTACGATCGGAAGCAGAGCGGATATGGGGGCCAGACAAAGCCCATCTTCCGTAAAAAGGTGAGTGAGTGCTGCTCCTGGGACAAGGACAGGAGACTTCCCTGGCAGCCCAGGTGCCTACCTGGAGGAGGATTCCTCAGCCCTGTGCCCTGCCCTATCTTAGGGCAGTTCCATGCTGGCAGTGCGAGCTCCCCCCCCCCAGCACAGACTCGTGGAATGGTTTGGGTGGAAAGGGACCTTAAAGATCATCTTGTTCCAATGCCCCTGCCATGGGCAGGGACACCTTCCACTACCCAGGTTGCTCCAAGCCCTGTCCAACCTGGCCTTGGACACTTCCAGGGCTGGGGCAGCCACAGCTTCTCTGGGCAACCTGTGCCAGGGCCTCAGCACCCTCACAGGAGAGAATTTCTTCCTAATATCCATTCTAAACCTACTCTCTGTTTGAAGCCATTCTCTGTTGTCCTGTCACTCCATACCTTTGTAAATAGTCCCTCTCCATCTTCCTTGTAGGCTCCCATGAGGTGCTTGTCTCATCTCCTTGCTGTCTTGTATCATGGAGATGCTCCTTCATTTGCAGGGGGTGTTTGCAGAGCAGGGGAGTGGGGTCTTGCTGGGATGGATACTTGCAAAGAAAGGAGTGTTTTCTTCATTGGTTGCCCAGGGGGAGGGTATGGCAAAGGGAAAGGAGCCTTCTGCTTGCTTTCCTAATGTCCTTGGAAGTGCCAGTAGTTTATCACTAAAACTTTTTGCTGGGTTTGTGAGGCTGCCTTCACTGACAAGGGGATGGGAGCCAAGTGTGTGCAGCTCCTGGGAGTACTTCAGAACACAGCATCATTTTCTCACAGCCTGCTGTCTCCAGGGAAATCTGTATTGCTGAGCCAGGGAATGAGAGCTGCTGCACTGGGCCTTTCCTGAGAGCCCCAGAGCAGCAGTGGAAGGGCAGCAGGGCATCCTGTTACTCATGAGCTGCAGAAACCTGCTGCTGTCACCCTTCTTCTTCAGTGTGGGTACCTGGCACTGCAGTCTTGCAGCATGTGTTCCCTCAGTGCATCTGTGACTTCTTGCCAGGGAGCTGGGGCAGGAAAAAACCTGTGGTGTTTTGCAGCAGGGAAGCAAAACCCAGTGGGTCAGTTTGTTGTTTTGTGTGAACTGTTTAGTTGTGCTCGTAGAGCTCGGTGCTGGAAAGCTCTGGTGTCCTGCTGGAGATGTACAGGAACTCTTCCAGCAGGAAGAAAAAAATGAGGCAGCAGGTTTTCAAGTTGAATTTGTGCCAGGAAGTGGGGAGACCTCTCAGAAAGTGCTTCTGCAAGCAGGGTGCACCAAGCAGCTGCACTCTTGGCACTCTGCACCAGTACATTGCCATTCCCATTTCTGTTTTTTCCCAGTCAGCATTGTATGGATGATTGGCTGAGGTTTTTAGCTGGTGGCTGCAGCCCTGTCCAGCTGCTACAGCACCTTCACAGCTTTGGATTCTTCCCACTGCAGTTTTTTTTGGGTTTCATCCCGCTTCCAGGAGCTGTGGGTCTGCATTGAGCCCGTTGTGTCACTGCTCCTTCCAAAGTTTGTCAGTCATTTTGCTTCCAGCTGTTCCTTCTGCCCAGTTCTCTGCTGGACTTCTCCTGAGCACTGCCAGTCTGTTCTCCCACAGTGTACAAGTTCCTGTGTTCCCTGGCACAAACTTTTTCCAGCAGGGCTGATCCCTGCAGAGACCAGCCCTGCCCCACTGAATGCTTTTGCCACTGTCCTTTATTGTAAAGATACAGATCCACTGTATTCCTCTGCTGATCCTTAAGTGCCTTCTTGTTTTCAGTGGAGGGAGCCTCTGTTGGTAGTTTCTCTTTACACTTTAAGAGAACAAACTGCTGAGCCTTCAGGAGTGCAGGTAACAAGGTTTTCTGAGAGCAGCAGTTTGTCTGCTTGGGGATGTTTGGTTCATTAAAACGCTCTGCTCCTCCTCCCAGGCCAAGACCACCAAGAAGATTGTGCTGAGGCTGGAGTGTGTGGAGCCCAACTGCAGGTCCAAGAGGATGCTGGCAATTAAGAGGTGCAAGCACTTTGAACTGGGAGGAGACAAGAAGAGAAAGGTGGGTTTGTGTGCTCTGAGTGGCTGAGAAAGGGGGGCAGTACTCAGTGGTGAGTAAACTCACTGTGTTTCTTGCTTCTTACAGGGCCAGGTGATCCAGTTCTGAGCATCATCCTACTCATCACCACGGACAATATTAAAGTATTTAGAGTGAGCCATTGCTTGTTTTTATGTGTTTCCTTATGTTGATGGGGTGGGAGTTGTGAGTACATCAGCCTGGCAGGGAAGGTGTTGGCTTGCAGGACTGCTTATTAAGAGAACAATTTGAAACCTGAAGGCTTTTGAAAAATCCCTCACAATAGCTGGGGTCTCCTTACTGTGTTACCTTGTAAGAGGTGTTTTGGAATGGCTCTGGTGGGTATTTGCACGCAGTGACTTCTCTGTGTGAACACTGTGCTGCTGCTTTCCCCTAGCCTGTGGCTTGTCAGCTTCACTGAGTGCAGTTTCTAGCAGTCCTTTCACAAAACCTTATGTGACTGGAACAAACTGGCCTGTCTTCTAAAACCTGATTTAATTCAGACACCATGCTGTCCTCCAGCACAAGTAAGAAAAAGCTTAGCCTTTTAAAGGGACTTTTAATCAAAGTGCTTAATCACAGAAGAACAAATGAAGAAATCCTGATTGTGTAGTGGTCAGAAGAGAACATACTTGTACATGCATGGCTGCATAAGTGATGATCCATCTCCTGTCCTGGCAGGACCTGTGTCATTTAAAGGCTGCTGCCAGCACTGGAAGCAAGCACACAGCTGTTTCTGGAAGGCAGCTCACTGAGGAAGGGAACTCCAGTGGCCACATGAAGGGCAGAGAGGGAAGTGACAGCCACTGGTGAGAGGAAGATTTCTGGCATGAGGAGAAACTCTCAAAAGCTGAGTCCTGCAGCATGCTACTTAATCCTATTTGTACTAAGCAAGCAGCTGTCAAGGAAGTTGCTAAGTGCAATGATTTAGGCCAGTCTGAATTGTCAGAAAGTAAATGTCCATGCTCTGAGAAGAGTGTTGGGTTTCTTTAGTGGGGTAGGAGCAGCTTTTCTTGGACTGTGTGCCCTGGTCTGGAAAAGAGAGCAAGGTGGCCAGGATGTTTCCCTTTAGTCCCTGAAATGCTCAAGATGAGCTGTAGGATGCTGCATGTGTATCCCTCGCCTTTCCTTGCATGGTAGTGTCAGTGGGCAGAAACAGGAGTTGCTGCCCTGCTGGAGCCCTGCCAGCCCCTGGGAGGAGCTGGGTGAGATGCCAGAGAAAATGTAAACAGCAGAGCAGTGCCCCTCTTTTTGTTCCCTCTGGTGATGGAACAATGGGTATTTGCCACATTAGGCTGAATGTTCAAGTAATGAACACCTGAAGATAGAACAAAGGCACCTGCTTGGAGGAAGGAGATTCCTGCCACAAGGAGTTCCTCAAGGAGTTCAGACAGTCTAAGGCTTAGGAGAAGATTGCCTGCTATAGTGCCAGGACTTTGAGCAGCACGGTGCCTGTGGGGTTCACCTCCACGCTCAGGAAGGAGGTCCAGCTGTAAACACCCCAGTCCCTGCTGGCTGGCAGGACCTGGCGCACGGAGCACGCTGGGTTGCAGGCCAGCCCATTGCCGAGGAAGGTGAGGGAGAAGGTGAAGTTCTGGGGTCCCCCAATCTCCTGCTGGTTCAGCACTGCCACAGCGTAGGCTCGGCCAGACAGGGGCCGCTCCCACAGCTCAAAGGTCTTGTCCTGCCAAGGAGAAAACAAAGCTGAGGCTCAAGGGAGGCCAGAGCAATGGTCATGCCTGTTGGGAACAAACAGGCTCACTGGGCTCCTGTCCCCAAACCCTGAGCACCTCTGTCCCTCCTCCTGCGTCCCCTTTCTGAGGGGCTGGCTGGCTGCCTGTGCCCCACACTGCACCCCCAGCCCAGTCCTGCTGTACCTTGAGGATCTGGTATCCCTGCCTGCCCAGCGGGTCCTGGTTGATGGCGATCACCTCCTTGTTCTGGAGCAGACACTTGGCCTCGGGACTGATGTGCCGCAGGTCGTTGGACATGAAGAGGGGAGCTGCCATGATGGCCCACATGGCCATCTGAGTCACTGACTGGTCCCAGCTCAGCCCGAAGTTTCCAATCACCAGCTGTGACAGGAAAACAAAAAGCGCCTGGTAACGCTTCCTGCAGAGCAGAAACTGGGCCACCAACCCAAGCACTGGGAAATGACAGGATGCTAAGGGTGGGCCCCCTCTCTGGAGCGTGGCTAGATAGGCTGAGTGCCAGGAGCAGGACCAGCTGGTAGGGAAAAACAAGGCATGACTAGTGAGGCAATTCAGAATGAGCCACCGATGGAAGCAAAGGCGGCTCTGTAAGTGGCTAGGCAGTGTTTAAGGTATTCCTTGCAATGCTGGCACCCAGGGGTTTTCCCTCTGGTGGGACATCAGCACTTTGGAGACTGTCCCCCAGTGCCACACTTGTGTTTTGAACTGGTGCTGCTTGTGGAAGGCTGCATTACACAAAGATGGCGCTTCCTTGGTACTGTCTGTACCTGCAGTTCTCTTCCCCTTTCCAGCCAGGACCCTCCCATCACGATCCTCATCAGAGGGTCCCATCAGACCTCTTCCCCTCAATGTTTCTCCCCTAGTTCCCTCCCTTCCCATCCTACAGCTGAGGGAAGGATTTTTTGCTGATGCTGCAGGAGGGTGTTGCTGTACTTGCCATGTCGGGATCATTCCAGCCCCCCGGCCCAGCTATCTTCACAATGCTGTCCTGGTGAAGAGCTGTCCATTCCAAGATACTCTTGATGCTGTTCCAGGAATCATAGACATCATAAAAGTTCCTCCAGTGATTGCAATACTGTTTGATCTCTGTGTAATTGGGCTGCCAAAACAATGAGTGTGATTAGTCAGAGTGCCTGGCTGTACAACAAGAGTGTAAACAAGGCTAAATGGATCAGGGGTAATTTGGGGGAGTACTAGGATAAAACACCTTCCATCACCAGCTATGTGGATGATCTGGTGCACGTTGATTCCCTAGGAAGCTTTGTGCCCAGTGACTCCAGTCTGCCATGTCCCAACACAACTGCTTCCCTTGGGAGAATAATTGTGGCCACCAGCTCTGTTAGAAAATTCCTTTCAGCGCAATTTTACTGAGGGTGTGACAGGGCCAGTGGAATTAAACTGTAATATCTCAACACTTACTGCCATTTCTTGGGTTTACACCCTTTGCTGAGTAATACATTTAATTCCAGTGGGAGGGAATGGCACCATTCTGTCACCGTGGCACAGGGGAAGCCAGCTGAGGGCAACGTGTGTGTCACGGACCCTGGCTGGCAGAAATGTGTCACTGAACAATGTGGAGGATGTCACAAAGCCTCTCTCCTGGTCCCCAGAGGTAACTGTAAGGCCAGGTCTGCAGCACTCTGTGTCCAGGAGGAGTGACACTGAGACTGTGTGTCTGCACTGCCAGAGGTTTGCTGCTTGGTTCCTTGGAGCCAGAAAGCAGATGGATGCTGCTGTGTTTTCTCTGGCATGCACCAGCTGGGCTGCACCTTCATGCTGCAGGATCCTACTGAATCTGTTTCGGCAAAGCAGTGACTCACCTCAGGTACAGTTCAGGGCTCTAGAGGAAAAAGTCTTTTTCCTCCATCTTACAGCCTTGGTCTCTGCCAGAACAGAATTCCTCAGGACGCTGTTTTGCTGTCTTAATGTTTTTCTGTTCTTCCCACTTTCAGCCCCAGGATAAGCCTTGAGAAACACATCTTACCTGCTGCATGGGCCTCAAGTAGAAAGGCCACTCACAGGCGTACACAATGCTCCTTCCAGTCTTGTTCAGGGCCAGAGACATGTGCCTGTAACCTAAAGCAAGGCAGAGGTTACACAACCTCCTTGGAGGGCAAAGCCTCTGTAGAACTAATCTGGTGTCACAGGTTCAGGTTTCAGCTCAACTCTCACAGAATCAGGGCTGAACACATTATCATGGCTCAGACACCACAGGGAGGACAGGGGAGCTCACAGTCTGCAGCCAGTCCCCTGCCTCCCAAGGACAGGTGAGCTGCTTCACAGCTTTGCTTGGGCAGGCTTATTGCTCCCAAGACTGCTGATCCCTTCGTACATACAGCCACGGGAAGAGGTTGAAAGATTTACTGTGAGGCACTTTTTCCTCTAGATACCCAGGAAATACCAGTCAGTATCTATCAAGCAGTGCAGCTTTGCTGGGTAATGTTGCAGGAATATGTTCTCATGAGGCAGTTGCACCATATGGACTGGGCAGGAATGCAAAACCACTAGTTTTTCCTGTCCTTGTCCCCAGACAGCCCTGTTAAGTCCCTTCTAATTGGCAGAGAGGGAATGAAAAGTCTGCTCTCTCCTCTGGAACTGCTTCAGTACAACTGGATTGTATCTGGGCTACACATATGATCCAACAGAAGCTTTCAGCTCAGCTGTCACTCAGGGTGCTGAGCTGTGCTCCTGTCTGTGGCAGTTGGCATATGCCCCACCATCTGGCTTCGATGGGATTGTCACTTGGGCAGGTTCTCCCTGCCAGGCAGAGACAGGACTCCTGCTGCCAAACACTGTGGTGCTGACTGTGCCAGCAGCCAGAGCCCAGGCAAGAGAAAAATGCCTTCCAAGTTACAGTGTTCTTCCCACAAATCTGCTCCTGTGGGACTGGGATTTGCTTGTGCTTCCGAAGAGTCTGTAGCCAACCCCCCTCAGAACAGGGAGCTACTGAGCTTTCAGCTGCTGCCTTGCCAGCCCGTGTGCAAATAACTTTTGAAGTGATATTTACACTGGTGTGCTTTAAAATGGAAACCCCAGTAGGATTATTATGCCATAATTCCCTTCATTTTCATCTGTTAAAAGCCCTCACAGCTGCCCTTTTCATGGCTGACACAACCTGTTCTTGCTTCAGGCTGATTCACGTTGACACAGCCTCGCCACGGGGATTGAGGGGTAAGTGTGTGAAACGCTCTGAGCTCTCCAGTAAAGGCACTGCAGGAGGGCAAAGCCTCTGCTCTGTTAAGAGCTGAGGAGCAGCCTGCACAGCCATCCCCCAGAGCACGCAGCTGATGTGTCTGTGCTCAACGTGATCCGGGCTCTGCTGTGAGAAAGCTCCTTTCCCAAGCTGTGCTCGTGGGAGAGCTCCAGGAGACCGAGCAGGTAAAAACACTGGGGTCAGCAACACTCATCACCTTAGAAACAGAGCCTC